GTAGTAGTGTGTCTACATGAAGAAAATGTTTGATAGAATATACACTATAACTGAGTAAGTAATACATCCATAACAAGAAAAATAGGTAACTTTTCCTTCCTTCTTCTTTTCCTCTTTATTTTGTTTGCTTGTTTATTTTTTAGCTAAAGTACCTGTAAGTAGCCCTGGGTGCCTTAGAACTTGCTACATAGACCTGACTGGTCTTGAATTTGCAGTTATCCTCCTGTCTCTGTTTTCCTGAGTGTCCACACTCAGCCTACTAATTTTCTTATTTTGAAAATTACACAAAAATTAAAAACTCTTGGGAGGAAGCCAGCCTGGTCTATAGAGTGAGTTCTAGAACAGCCAGGGCTACACAGAGAAACCCTCTCAAAAAAACAAAAACCAAAACAACAACAAAAAAATGTTTTTTTTAAATTTATGTGGTACTCCTACCAAGAGAGAGAGAGAGAGAGAGAGAGAGAGAGAGAGAGAGAGAGAGAGAGAGAGAGAGGCCAAACTAGTTCAAATTACATACATTAATAAAGTTGTGGGTCTGGCTGGGCATAGTGGTGCATGCCTTTAATCCCAGCACTCAGGAGGCAGAGGCAGATGGATCTCTGTGAATTCGAGGCTAGCCTGGTCTACAGAGTGAGTTCCAGGATAGCCAGGGTTACACAGAGAAACCCTGTCTTGAAAAAGCCTCCCCCGCCCCCCCAAAAAAGTTGTGGGTCTGAAGAGACAGCTCAGTGGTCAAGAGCATTTCCTGTTCCTGCAGAAGACCCAGGCTGGTTCCAGCACCTGCATCGAGTCACAACCACCTGGAACTCTGGCTCCAAGGGGGTCTGATGCCCTCTTCTGGGCTCCAAGGACTCCTGCAAGCGTATAGTACACATAAACTCACGCAGGTGTGTATACACCCAAAACACATGCATGCACACACACATGTAAACATAATAAATAAACGAACCTAAGAAGAACACAGTTGTAGTCTTAGCTCTGAGAGAAGGGGGAAAACGATGACTGTCCTGCAGCTGCCTGCTCACTCCAGACCACACCACCTGCTGAGAGTCACAAAGGGTGACAGGACACAGCGAGGCATGAGCAGGCTCAAAGGGGTCTGTAAACTGTTTCCCGTGGAGAAGGCTCCAAGGACAACTGAGACAAAGGCTTGTTACGATGCATAAGCTCCTCGTTCCATCAGGAGGGGCTGCCGTGGGAGACAGGCATGGGTTCCACTGAACGGCAGCAACATGGCAGGGGAGAGTGTCTGAGATTCCTCATACAAAGAAATTACAAATTATAATATAAATTATAAACCAAAGCTGGAATGTGCTTCCCTGAGAGGCCACAGCTTGCAAGTCACCAGGAGACCCATGTCTCAGAGATCTGGGAGAGCAGGACCCCACCCTGAGGAGGTAGGTCACTGGCCCAGATGGCATGCCAAGTTCCTTCCAAAGCCCAGGATATATCACCTTGGCTTATGTGGGGGTAGAAACAAAACACACGGTCATTTGCTTGAAGATCCTCCGCCTTTGCCTGGTTTAAGGCAGTGACCTGAGCTAAATGAGTTCCTCATATTCCTTTGATGATTCTACGTGTGGATATCGCCCTTCCTGTGAAGACCTAATAAGTTACAAAAGTCCTTGGAGAGCTCTAGCTACACAGTGATATCCGGGGTGTTCACAGCCTTACAGTTTGAGCGCACAGATATATCCTCACCATATGGATGTGTCCTAGTTAGCTTTGCCGACTTGCCACAGCCTCCAGTCATCTGACAAGAGAGCCATGGTTGAGGAATTGCTAAAATCAGACTGGCCTATGGGCACGTATGGGGGAGATTACCTTAACTGTTAATTATGCAGGAGGGCCCAGCCCACCGTGGGCAGCACCATCCATAGGCAGGTGGTCTTAAGCTGTGTCAGAACGTTAGTTGAGCATGAGCCTGGGACCGAGCTAGAGAGTGAGCCAGCAAGCAGCATTCCTCCATGGCTCCTGCCCTGACTTCCCTCAGTGGTGGACTGTGACCTGAAAATGTAAGCAGGTAAGCCTTCTCTTCTCCTAAGTTGCTTTTAGTCATAGTGTTTCATCACAACAGAAGGGAAATTAGAACGAGACATAACCTTCCTAGAGCTAGTCATTACCATGGATGGGTGCCTGTGGACGTGGCAAGGCCCCAAAGAGTACACAACAGATTCCTGACAGCAAAGAATAGCTTGGGAAGGAAGTGGGAGTGTGAGTTTCAGATTTTCAGAGATCAGAAATGGAAGGGATGGGAGGAAGGGGTCGCTCCACACCCTGTGACAGTGCGCAGCTTGTCTGGGGGATGAGAGCTACATGCCAGTCTTACGAGTTGAGCTTTCATGAAAATAAGTCATATATTGTATCTTTATTGATGACTGTAATGATTGTAATATCTCTACACACGAAGAACTTCCTGATCTATATGTTGATTTGTCAGCTTACGTACCAGCCAGCACAGCAGTGACTTCTCTCCCGGGACCAGGGTCCAAAGATAGGAAGAGCTGTGGCTGGGGTCTCCTGTGGTGCCTTATCCCTGCCCCTTGCCCACAGTGGTGGCTCCCGGCAGCCACCTGTTCACCATGACCCCTGTTCTCATGCCCTCAACTGAGTCAGAGATCACACATGAAATTGTGTTCAAAGAGAGTCCTAGGCTTTCCACAGCACGGGAGCTGTGATGTGGAAACAGTGGGTGGCCTAGTCTGCTGTGGTGTGACAGAGGGGGCAGAGGGAAGGAAGAAAAGCAGATGCCCGGAGAGAAGCTGAGATTGAGAGAGGCTGGGACTGGTGAGCTGCCCACTTCCCCGGTTTTCATTGTTTCTGGAATCTGACACCTTCCTGCCCCCTGGCATTAAGAGGCAGTCCTGTATCTTTACATCAGTGGCTCTTTGACTGAGGGGAGCCTGTGTGACTGGATTGTAACGAAATTCTCACTGACAGTGTCTGGCCCCTGTTCACTAAGGAGAGGCTTCTAATGTGTTTCTGAAAAGACCAGCTCAGGGCCCTCAGCTCCTCCCTGTCTGCCCTGTGGCAGCTTTGGGGACTTGTCCCCAAGGGAGGTGTGGTGGAAGCCGCTCTCTTTGCCTCTTCAGACCCAGCACTCTGCTGAAGGTGTGCTGGGATTTGCTTGTGGAGTCCAGCAGCCCTCCATTACCTCTCCTCCATAGGAAGGCGGGTGGGCGCCTCCCTAAAGCTGTCCACAGAAGCCGTCCTTGGACGGCCAGGGCTCAGACTCTGGCAGCGACCCCAGTACTGCCTTCTACTCCTTCAGTCCCCATTTCTGCTCAGCACAGGCCCAGCCGTCAGTCACCTCGCCATCCCCGCTACAGCTCCTCCTGACCTCTGGCCACAGATTCTCCAGCTGGCTAGTGTCACCAAGAACCTTGTACCAATGTCTGGGCGAGTCCTTGTGTTGCAGTCCGACGTTCATTTGCTTAGATGCCTAATTCCATGGCTATCTGAGAGTCTGGAGTCCTGTGTCCTCCTTGGTTTTGTGTCTCTGGTCCCTACTATAGTGGACACCATGGTTGTTCCTAATAAACATTTATGGAATGCTTCACTGAGCAAACACATGAATGATTAAACCAATTCATTTCCTTCCCAGCTCTATTTCCCTTACTGTCTTTCCACTCTGACACAGTGAAGATGCTGGTTTTCTTTAGTACTTTGTGGGGAAAGAGTGTATGCATGTATGTGCATGTGCGGGTGCAGGCGCACAGACTGCGGACATGCATGTGTGTGCATGTGCGGGTGCAGGCACACAGACTGTGGACATGCATGTATGTGCATGTGCGGGTGCAGGCACACAGACTGCGGACACGCATGTGGAGACCAGAGGGGATGTCTTACCCCATGCTTCTCAGTTTTTGAAGCAGAGCCTCTCACTGAGCCTGGAGCTCACAGTTTGGGCAGATTTTGGGTCAGTGAGCCTGCAGGATCCACCTGCCTCTGTCCCCAGCCCCAGAATTACAGATGCGTGGTTGCCAAGCTCAGCTTTCACAGGGGTGCTGGAGAGCTGAATCCAGGTGCTCTGATCTGTGCAGCAAGCACTTTGGCCACTGGGCCATCTCTCAGCCCCTGGGATTTTCCATCATTAAATTTTTAAATTTTAGCCGGGCGTTGGTGGCGCACGCCTTTAATCCCAGCACTCGGGAGGCGGAGGCAGGCGGATCTCTGTGAGTTCGAGGCCAGCCTGGGCTACCAAGTGAGCGCCAGGAAAGGCGCAAAGCTACACAGAGAAACCCTGTCTCGAAAAACAAAACAAAACAAAACAAAACAAAACAAAACAAATTTTTAAATTTTATTTGTCATGTGTTTGTGTGATGTGGGGGCAAGGTGCACAGCACACGGCAAGCTGTGGAGGTCAGAGGATGCCTCCTGTTTCTCCCTCTCTCTGTGTGGCTGGGCTCAGACTCCTCAGCTATCGTGGCAAGTGCCTCTATCGGTTTACCATCTCCCCAGTGCTTCTTTTAATGGCAGTTATCTTTTGCCTTCCTGATCTGAAAGACTATGAAACAAAGGCCTTTCTTTTCAAACCCACTAGCACCAGGCTGCACACACCGGGCAGCCGTTCTTAGGTGTGTGTGAGAGTGTGTGAGAATGTGCATGTATGCATATATATGTATGTGTGACACTGGACATGAGTGAGTGTGTGTACATTGGTGTCTGTGTGTGTGAGTGAGAAAGAGAAAGAAAGAGAGATTTGTTTTGGTTTTACAAAGCTTTAAATAAAAACCCTCCTTGCATTCCTTCTCTGGCAGGGAATTTCTCAAAAGGGAATTACTTTTCTGCCCTGTCCTTGTCTCCTGTGGCCTGTGGTCAGCATCTCTATCACTGACACAGTTCAACACTGGCTTTAGATTTGACTCAAATGACCTTTGGCATGGACAGTCCAGAAAGGAATTTACTCAAATATCAGAGAGAGGCAGCTATTTATCTGTCCGGGCTGCACGTAGGAAGTCCTCCAGGACACATTCCTGCACTTGGCACTTGCTGAGAGGAGCAAACAAGGACTGAAGAGGCTGCTGGGAGCTCACCAGTGTCCTGGCCAGTGAGGCAACAGGTGCACCTGGTGCTGTAGTGACCTCCCAGGGGACATTTGCCCTGCCATTGCTGTGTCTCCAAGGTTACAGGCTGCTTTTCCTTCCCACAGGGCAGTGCGGCAGTGCTCTGGCTCCAACACAAGGCCGTGGAGGACAGAGGGAGAAGAGAGGAGAGTTGGATAGAACAGGCCATAGAGAGAATCCCTCTGCAGGGTTGCATGGTGACCACAATCTCACAGCACTCAGGGATCTCCCAGAAATGCCATCCATCATGTTGGGAGGCACACCCATAGTAAGGTGTTTTCGGACCCCTGGGCTCTCTGGGTAGCAACAGCTCTGCCTGCCATCCTGGACCACACCACCTTCTTCAGGTGAGTCAGGATGGTTCCTGGAGAGGAACAAATACACAGAAAGGGAATTGACAGGGAGGGGAGTTACATCTAAGTGTCTGTGTTATGAGAAGAGTCTGTCTTTCTTCCCTCCTGCCCCCTCTTCTCTTCTTCCTGCCCATCAACAAGCGTAACTAAGAAACTTCATATATTCTAAATTAGTAAGAATCCTCCTCAAACAACCTCCTTTTCTCACGTCTGGTTTGCTGAGGATTGTTTAGACTCTCAATTCCCCACCCATTCAGCAAGATGTGAAATTGATGGAATATTATTCAGACTTTAAAAAGGAGGAAATTGGCAGGGTGTGATGGTACACACCTTTAG